ATTTTTCGGGTTGTGAAATTTCACGACTTCGCTGGGCATAGAGTAGGATTGAACTTACCACACAATTATACTAATGCAAAAATGATACCTACAGACATCGAAAGCTCTCCATTAAGGTGTGAAGTTCACCGTTCCGAAAAAATAATTACGTCTTGATTTATCATAAAATCAGTGTCAACATTTCAAAGGGGCGTAATTGCATTTGTAAACAATGGCTTTAGCCTTCGATTTCTCGTGAATAAAAGCTCAATCATGAAGATTAATGACACCAGCGGATAGAATAATGTTACCTTTACCAGCTAGCATTGTTAATTTGGAGAGGTGAACTTTTATTTGCGAGAAATCGACGGCTAAAGCCATTGTTTACAAAATCAATTACGCCCCTTTAAAATGTTGGCACTGAAATATTGAAAAAATCTAAAAAATCACATTTTTTTCTAATTCTTTAAAGAAAATTCACGTGCAAAAATATTTTTTGTAAGTTTTCATGGCACAAAGTTGGACTCAAAAAATCACAAATCATCGAGCTTTCGGTTTTGCTGAGAGTTTAATTATTTTTATGATGAGATAGATTTTTTTTTGTTTATTAATTTATTTGATAAGGCTCAAACGAATTAAGTTTACAGAGCCGAGGATTCTTGGACAATATACAATACATCTTTGGCAGCAACTTGCTAAAACTCTACACTGGACCCCTTTTATTGATAAATTTGGCTTCTATGAGCCTCTATTTCAAATCAACACACAGACGTTCCTAGGCTATGGTGCCCGTTTGGTCACTGTTGTTTTTGTGCTGATCCAAATAGTTTTGATAATATAATTGCGCATTCTTGTTTTTTTAAAAGGTTGATTTTCGTCCCAGTCTTGTCTTCTGTCGTCACTTATTTTGTCATTTTGTCTTGTGTATTAACCCCCACTTGTCTTGTTTATTGTGTCAACTTGTGTCTATTGTCCTTCCCCATCTGTTACTCTGTCATGACTAATTTCATTACAGGATAATATGGTTATTTCTCGATTAAAGGGTGATACGGTCAAAATTTGGTCAATATCAACTTGACGTATTTCTTTCAATTTTGCATTTAAAAAACCTGAACACCCCTCATTTTGAAGGTATGTGTGTGTAGAATGTTGCTCCTATTTTGATTTTGGAATTCACTCTTCAGTTGTCAAAATGCCGTCCAAGCAAGAAGAGCAGCGTATCAAAATTTTGCTCGCGCATCGCGAAAATCCGAGCTACTCGCACGCAAAGTTGGCAAAATCGCTAAAAGTTGCCAAATCAACCGTTACAAATGTAATTAAAGTGTTTGGGGAACGTTTGTCGACAGCCAGGAAGTCTGGATTGGGGGGAAATCGAAAACCGGAAACCGCTGAGACGACAAAGAGAGTTGCCGGTAGTTTCAAGCGAAACCCTAACCTCTCTCTCCGAGATGCCGCAAATAAGCTGGGTGTATCGTCTACAACCGTGCATCGAGCCAAAAAACGAGCCGGACTATCGACTTACAAGAAGGTAGTGACTCCAAATCGCGATGATAAACAAAATACGACGGCCAAAGCGCGATCCCGGAGGCTGTACACGACGATGCTGACGAAGTTTGACTGCGTGGTAATGGACGACGAAACCTACGTCAAAGCCGACTACAAGCAGCTTCCGGGACAGGAGTTTTATACGGCAAAAGGAAGGGGAAAGGTTGCAGATGTTTTCAAGCACATGAAACTGTCAAAGTTTGCAAAGAAATATCTGGTTTGGCAAGCCATCTGTACCTGTGGCTTGAAAAGCAGCATTTTCATAGCTTCCGGGACGGTCAACCAAGAAATTTACGTGAAAGAGTGTTTGAATAAACCGAGGAATAAACGTCTGCTGCCTTTCCTGAAGAAACACGGTTGTTCCGTACTGTTTTGGCCGGATTTGGCATCTTGCCATTACGGTAAAAAGGCCATGGAGTGGTACGCCGCCAACAACGTGCAGGTGGTTCCCAAGGACAAGAACCCTCCCAACACGCCAGAGCTCCGCCCAATTGAGAAATACTGGGCTATTGTCAAGCGGAACCTAAAGAAGACAAAAAAAACTGCTAAGGGCGAGCAGCAGTTCAAGGCAAACTGGCTTTCTGCGGCGAAGAAGGTGGACAAGGTGGCTGTACAAAATCTGATGGCAGGGGTCAAGCGTAAGGCCCGGCAATTCGGATTTGGAAAAGCGGAAGCCTAACTGATTATTTTTCCTGAATTTTATACTAATTGAACTTGAAAAAGAAATTTAATTTGATTTTTTAAATAAACGATTTCACCGATTTACACGCGTTTTCCCTTGACCAAATTTTGACCGTATCACCCTTTACTTTTTCAAAGGGAAGCACCAGCTCCTGCAAATAATGCATCCGATCGGTGATCCGGCGCAACCGGCAGCTCGCACACGCTTATCAACACCACCAGCAGGTAGAGGAAATTTTCCCCTATCTGATGATAGTGCCAGCCCGCGTGGGCGAGCCACCAGTTAAGCCAAATCAACGACCAAACGCACCGCCTACAAAAGCCGATACGCTCCCTTGAAAAAGTTATCGATATTTCTACTAATTAATGAATTATTGACAATTACCTCTCATGATCCTTGGCTCTGATTTTAACTTACCACTTTTTGATTATTTATCAAATACCTCTCCCAGAATATATAACTCCCCGATGCCTTGTTGGTTTCTGGTCTCATTTGGATTGGTCCTGAATTTGTTTGACATCCTGTTCGAAGTAATTCTTTGAGTTCCAGCTTGTACGTGTCTCACGTCATATGATTCGCCATTCATAAAGATAATGGGTTAAAAGAGAGTAAAACATACATAAAGGTAGATTAGTATTAGTTGTACTTGATCCAAACAATAGAAAGAAGCATAGATGAACTAATATATAACTAAAAGTGCAATGGATAAGTGTTAGTTCCGGGATCATTTTAGTGTTAGTAGTTATGTTAGTTTGATCCGTATTCAGCCCTGCCGGCCCCTCCAGCACTATTTGCAGCAATTGTGATAAGATTATGCGACACTGCTACTACTACTATGTTAGATGTATGACTTGTCAATTTTCGCAACGCAATGTCTTTCAATAAATCACTCAATCAATTTGATGTTTGAAAATTTGCTCAAAAGGGCTTTGTTGACACATCATACCTTACCGAAAACTAAAGCACAACAATCCTAATTCTTATTTCAAACCTATCAACATATTTAACATATCTTTCCTAAAACTTCACTTGTTCGTAAGCGCCTGGTTGAAGATATGACTTTCGCTATTGACATTGTCTGTAATTAACAAATACACTAAATAGGAAGATTTGTTATACAAGTTCATAGGCTAGTCGCCTCCCTAAGCGGACCCCCCGCGTCCTATCTTTTATGTTAATTAACTTTCTGAATTCTATAATTGAAGTTTATTTAATAAATAACTGAAATCTCTAATCTACCTACACAATCATAACCCATGCTTTTAAACTACAATTTAACGTGTTTCATGTACTTCTGGCTTTTACATATATTAATTATATCTTTGTTCGTCCCAGATGACACCTTCAAGTGACTAAAATGCTTCACTTTGAAGTTAGTTTCCAAGCTAATTTTAAATTGTATATTGTATAGGGTAAATGTTCCAACTACGCTCTCACGCTTCCACTATGTGGCACCACAAAAATACACATGGGTATGTCACAATAGAAGCACACCACAGTGGAAATCCCGAGTCATAGTTCAAACACTTATCCCAAATCAAAATGAAGCACATATAAGATTAGTTACAATACCATGTACAAAAATGATGTTTAACATTGTTTCCTGAGTAATACTTCAATGAAAACAACAATGAAAGCTTGTCACGCAAATAGAAGGAGCACTGTTGGGCACTTTCTGAAATATTTCAATAGTATAATTCCCTTGCAAACCCAAATAAATCTATCTCCGTAAAAATAAATAAAATAAGAGTGATTTGCGGCAAAACCCGCCAGTATCACACCCAACGTCAGTGCCTATACGTAAACAATAATAATAACAACAATAACAGCAAGGTGCAAAAACTAGCCAAGGGGAGGGTTGGACAATATACAATACATCTTAAAACTATAATCAAAAGATACAACACAATAAACACTTTATCTTCCGCTATCCAAAAAGCCTCCTCCATCAGAACTGGAGCTGCTTCCAGTAGTTTCATTGTATGGCGGTTACGCCAACGAGGGTCAGAGCACGTCCATTGCAGCAATGGGCGCAAAACGTGGTCAGCACTCACACACTCATCACGAAACGGTTGCTTTCGAAAGTCGACGACACACCGACCGAAAGAACTGCTGATGAAGAACAATGAGGAGGACCACACAATGGTTGCTGCCGAGAAAACAGACGATCGAGTGGTACACATCGAGAGTGGTCTGCTTTTGTCGACAGCCGAGTGAACACACTGGTGATGATATAGATAATATTTATAAATTTTCCCAAAATTTAAAAACAAAATATTTTCGGTGCGGTAAACTTCCGCTTAATAACTGTGGAAGTGCATCTATAGAACACTAAGTTGAGAGCAGCTAGTATGCGATAAGCAATAAGCTTGAAAGGCGAAGAATAAGAAGAGCGGTAACACTCCATCCCTCTCTTGTTCACAAGTGAACTTGATATTCCTATGTGCACTGATGTTAATGGCATCTAGAATGATTGGCAAAGATTCTCGCTTAAGATATCGCCTACATGTCTCCACCATCGTTTTGGAAGCAATCCCTTCTCCTTAAAATCACTCTCTAGTTTAGTCATGGTTCACACAAGAAAGGAGATAGAGGGTTACCCATTGGTGCTCCTTTCGGCCTGTTTTTTGAGCGGTTGTCATCATCGTTATCATCATACCACCTTCGGCAAGGTGACAAAAATGACCAATGGGAAGGATTGGCATAATGAAAAGAATGTTGTATTAATATCTAGGTACCTAGGCACTTATGATTATCATGGCAATTTCGGACACATCGTTCCATTCTCCCGCAGTTAATTTTAAGAGATACATTTATTATAGGAGTTCATTGCAAAATAGCCGCTTACAAGGGGCAACTATTACGCAAATCTACGGATAAAAACTTCGTACCCGACACTTCAACGCAAACGGTGTTCGTTCAGTTGATAACGATCAAATCGTCGTCATCATCATCATCATCATCGGTATTCGAAACGCGTGCCTTCTTCGACGAAGGTCCCTCACTTTCAGCTATCTTACGTTTTTCAGAACCGGAACTGCTGGGACCTGCAACGGCAGCTGAGGTACTAGGCTTATCGGATTCCTCCTCGATAATGCACATATCGTCATCATCGTCAGCAGCCGTTGACGGTGCAGAAGCTTTCGAATTACCATTCTGGCCGGAAGTTGATGGCTGAGCATCGTCTGTTTTCTTTTCTTCATCTTCTTTCGGTTTTAGCGTATCCATATCGGCAACAATGTCGAAGCTAGACTCGTCCCGACCAGGATCCTTGTGGATGACGGTAACCGTGAGTTCGTAATTCTGTACGAAATCATCCACTTTCAAGATGCATCCATCGACGATTTGCAGTTGATCCAGTTTCTTATCATTATTGCAGTCGGTTTCACCTTCCTCGGATGAAATCACAATTGTTCCCTTGCCATCAAGAATCACATCTGGATTGATCATGTTCAACGCCTTAATCAGAATGTCATCCCGTAACTCCTTGACGGTTACATTTTTAGTGTCCACTTTGAGTGTAACTTCCGGTTTAGCTGCACAAACGTAACACTTTGGATTCGGTGGATTCAAAGCTCGATCCGGAACGAACAGCTGATTGCGAGCATTCGGTCTCAGTCGCATATACACTGACTTGCACTTATCCAGTTCGCCTTGCAGCACGCGGAAGGCGTGCATGACAACGACTCCGGCGGTGATAGCGTTAGTCGTTGCAATCGCCGGAATGATATTTCCTGCCATAGACTTAATCTCGAACCGACTCTTTCTAGGGATGTTGAAAATTTGCGATCGAATATTGGCGCAAGCCGCCACAAAATCCATCGCATGCTTGTCGTCCTTATCCCACACGAGATGGTCGCCATCGGCCAGTTTCTCGAATTCGCCCTTCAAGGCGGAAATACTTTCGGCAAACACTTTCGCAGACTCGGTCAAACTAAGCACCTTTTGATCACGCAAAACCGTATCCGTTGGTGCAGCTTCACCCTCCTCCTCGAGAGCATCCCACTTGGCAGGATTCGGAGGGGTACGATTCTTCCACAAGTTCGACATACTCAACAGGTAGTTGATATCATCGTAGAACAACTTGTTGAATATCTTTTCCGCATCATATCCGCTCTGCTGAGCCCAGGTTCGAGTGTTTATCCGATCAACATTGCCCTTCTCATTGGCTTCAGCTGCTAGGGCACTCTCACCCGCCTTGGCTCCTGCTTCTGGATCAGCTGTGTCCGGTGACACATCCTCATCCTCGTTGCTCTCGCCGAACAATTGACTGCAATAGCGTAAAAATTAAACAGTTACTAATACTAAACAACATATCTTAGTGTTCATTTAAAACATACTTGAAAAGGTGCTTCGCCCAGACGATGCAATGGATCGGTTCCGAAGGCGTGTTCCTGATTGTACACCCAGGGAATGTTTTTTGCGCTGCCTTCGGAGTACACTCGTAACACTGAGTTAACCCACGTTTGATCAATTCTACTTGACCATTGTAACCCGCGGTGCCCGATTCGATCAACGGAACATCGGCAGTCAGACAGAGGCGATTAACGTGGTTCCGTGCGGCTCGGTTATCAAGCGCGTTCAATACCAGCTTGAACTGCTGGAAAAAGTTGACTCCGTAGTTGGAACTGCAAACATATCGATTACGTTGCTACATATGTAAAAAAATATAACAGCTATATTCCACTCACGTCGTAATACTGTCATGGTACGCCTTGATCTTCACGTTGGGATTGAAGCTAAGCGCACTCTCCCGCGCTACATTGGCTTTAGATTTACCTACGTGCTCCTTATGGAACAGGAATTGACGGTTCAAGTTACTAACATCGATCGTGTCTAAATCAATCTGAAAAATAAACATCTCAGTCAACGGAAAACATTTAACACCTGAGTTGGCATCACTGTCCTCTTCAGGGGTTGAGGTTATGATCCTGCTCTATAAAAGACGCTCAAAACAAACAACAAACTTACGATTTCGATGTCCTGAAATCCGGATAGGACCAAATTTTTCAGAATTTCACAACCGATTCCGCCAGCACCGACAACCAGGAGCTTTGATTTGGCAATCTTACCCTGTAGCTCCGGTTCAAAAACACCCGCAACTTGAGCCGCCATGTTTTGATGCTTATCACTCTTTTCGTCTGCTGCGGAGAGAGCAATAAACACATCATTTTTTCGTCCCGTGAAAATCAAACATCATCTTACCTGCAATATACTTCAACACAGGAACCTTAAAGGTCACGACTGCTACGTTAATTTGTGTAGTTTAGTGCGGAATTGCAGTTATTTTTTGCAAAATATTTTGCGTTGAGCGGTGATTAACGTTCCACCATCAAGAGAAAGCGGCTTGCAAACAATCAAAATTTTTCTCTTTTGTCTGACAGTTTTTGCAGCGACGCAGAGAGTACACGCTATTTCAAACTCCCTAAATTTGAGTAGGATACACGCTAACTTCTGCTTACTCACCAGGTGAGTCGATCGTACTCACTTTCGTCCGATGTATCGAGTTGTCAAAAATTGAGTAAACGAGAAATGTCAAACTGAGTAAAAGCCACTCAGTCAGCAAAATCCTGGACTTGGAAAAAATGCCAGTCATGTCGGAGGAAAGCTCATAGAAAATGTTACTCAAAACCGGCTGGAATGCCTTCAGGTAAGTACGAATTGCTTAGGGAAACGGTGTTGAACTATAGAGGTTGAACCGTTTTTTGCTCCGGTAGAATGAATCCGGAACAGGCAATTTACATTTCCTTGAATGAAAATCAAAATACAAAACCCTCCTCGCAACTGAAAATACCGGCGAGTGGATTTGACTCAGTCTACGTGAGAACGTAGTTTACTCAAAAGTGAGTCAACATAAGGCTACTCAATTTTGAGTAGCCATACTTGCCGCTGAGATGAGTACATTCGACTCAATTTTGAGTTGACCAGAATAAGCGTGTAAGTGAAACATACCATAATCGAGGGGTACGACACATCCAAATCTCAATTTAAGATGGTGAAAAAGCTCACGCGAGAGCTCCCCGCATAAGCGCGAACCATAAATTGACCTTACCGATAATGGTTATAAATTGTTTATAATCCCTGCTAAACTTCAACTGAAATGGTTATGGAACTTTACATGAACGTTTAATGATAAAGTTTTAACCTTAAGTATTATAGTTTTTTGGAAGTGGACCTTACAAATAATGGGTTGTTAAGAACCATTACCATTCAAAATTCTTGTTTTCTCCATACATTTTCGGAAAGAAAACTATACTAAAACATTTTAACTTATGGTTTGAGAACATTAATGGTAATGGTTATGGTAACCAGTAAGGTCCATGAATGGTTTTGTAACATCGATCAACTTTATGTGGAATATATCGCGAATTGGTTGCCTGTAAATTACTGATTACCAATTCACGATATATTTCACGTAAAGTTGAGTGATAATACAAAACCATTAATGGACCTTACTGACTACCATAACCATAACCATTAATGTTCTCAAACCATAAGTAAAAACGTTCTAATATAGTTCTCTTTCCAAAAATGTATGGAGAAAACAAGAATTTGGAATGGTAATGGTTCTTAACAACCCATTATTTGTAAGGTCCGCTTTCAAAAAACCATAACACATAAGGTTAAAACTTTATCACACAAACGTTCATGTAAAGTTCCATAACCATTTCAGTTGAAGTTTAGCAGGGATTATAAACAATTTATAACCATTATCGGTAAGGTCATGTGATGGTTCGCGTTTATGCGGGTCATGCTAGCGAATCAATCTACGAAAAATCTGTTTTTCATCTCTTTCATCTAAATCCATCTACTCACATCGCTTACCACCTTTTGCAGGAAATCTTCAAAATTGTCATCAATCTTCTCTCTATATATTATACATTTCATTTGACACATGATCTTCATTAACTTTTTGCAAGGCGTTGACTTATTAGTTGACTTATACATAGAAAAAAAAAAGTTGTTGAATATTACATCCAAACTGCTGCGTTTATTTCAAAAATATTCGTGTTGAAAATAAACGTATTTATTTTTGTTTGGTTTGACAGCTGTGCGAACAATAATAAATATGTTTATTTTAAACATGCTTCTCATACATACATATTTTGGAATTATTTGAGTATAGTTGCAGGGTAGAGCAAAATAAAACGGAAAGAAATGAAAAAAAAAGATCTTCGGGCAGGGCATCTTAATTCCTGCTCTTTTCGGGTGCGATTAAAGGTGACCTGTGGGTATTGGGGACCAGGTCCGGGATGCGAGGACCCGTCGGGGTGGGTGTCCGGGGGTTCCAGTTCAGTGGAACCGGTGCAAATTTGTGTTATTAGCGTCGTTTTGCCGTTTCTGCCTCGGTTTCTGCTACTGGTCCTCATACCGGTTTCTTTCCGTGTTCGATATCGGAGGAGGATCCGGAATGGATTCGGAATGGATGACCGTTTTCTGTTGAGGTTGAGCAAAGCTGGGGCAACTTTTCCGAATGTAATAAGAAGGAAATAAAAAGGCATGACACGTTTAAAACCGTTTACCCAAATCCTATATTGTTGAAATAAACATGCTTTTGAATTTAATTCAAACATAAATATTTTAGTTTTAAACATGCTTTCAATTTACTTTGAATAATTCATATGTTTAGAGTATAAACATTTATATTTTTGTTTTAAATGAACAAAATTCGTATCCGTGTATAACGTTGTACGATGTACATCGATTTTGCGAACAAAATTACATCCATTGATGTAATATTGCATCTGCTTTTTGCTATTACATCATTATTTCATACATCAGCTTGAATTACATTGATCGATATTATATTTTTTTTTTGCTGTGTACATTTTATAAATAATCAGCAATAGAAATTTGCCAAAAGGTATCCAGCTTTCCATGCTCGGTAATGGCGGCCTATTTGTATGAATAAATGTATCTTTCACTGTGCTATCTGGACGTTCGGTTTTTTACCCCTCTCTTTCCCTCTTCCAGGAACAGCAGAAAATGAAACAACATACGCCCTACAGTTAGTGTCAAAAAGCACAGTGAAGGATACATTTACTCATACAAACAGGCCGCCATTACCGAGCATCGAAAGGGTCAGCAACACTGCTAATGTAATTAAGATAGGCGCTGCTCGTATGGCTCTGGCTTTGACAGTTCGTTTGGCTCAAAATCAGGCAGTCCGCGTCCGCTCATATCTTATCCTAGACCCTCTCTAAAGCTTAATGGAGACCTTTTCCGTGCAGTCAATAATCATACAATAATAATAAAAAATTCCACCACTTGAAGATGTCAGGAAGTAACTCTCAGGTGGAAGAATATTTCATGGGCGATTCTCTCCAGTCGAATGCATTAACTTATCAACGACGCTCAACCACCAAGGAGACGTGACCTAGGGATATCGAGCGCAGGGGAGTTGGCCTGCATTTCTCACAAGTTCCGGATGGAATCTCGATCCATAACCAGTAAAAAAAAGGACCACCCGTAACAGAAATACCACCCCCTTCCCTTCCCGGGGCAATGTTTTATTTTTTCGATTTATTTTTAAAGTCGATAAAGTAGATCTGTCAAGCCAACACATACACTCTAAAGTACACTGTTATTTTTTTTTAATCAATAAATTCGCCAACCAACAGTAAAATAACAATAATATATTATGTTATTGAAAAACAAAATTATATGGGAAAATCACGAAAATTTCATTGTTAAGATACTTAACAACCCCCCTTTTTTATTGTAAATTTTCCATTTACCATGAAATTTATTGTTTTGTACAACATAAATCAAGGTAAATTTATTGTAGACGTAACAATATAAATCATTGTTAAGACAATAATTTTCTTCTTATTGTTACATTGTTTTTTAATGTATTTTTGTTGTTATTTTTTTTCGGGATATTACACAACCGATGGATTGACCTGGTTGCATCAGTTTCGATGTAATATTCAACAACTTTTTTTGCCGTGTAATATGAATTTCTGCTTTGTTTACCAGATCACTCACACACTCTAGATTTCTAGCTGTCAGTTCCACTGAGAAACTAAAGAGCCTAAATTTATAAAGAGGCGACATGTCAAAATTGGAACAATCGATTGTCCGTCAAAGTCATCCCTAATAAAAAATTACCACAAACGAACGATAACCCAAATCATTGAACAATTCCACAAATGGTTTGGATGATACCCCGAACACGTCGTTAAGCAAATTAACCATACCATTTTTATTAGGGATAGGAAAAGTCATTCCAATCGAGCAGAAGACCTGTCAAATGGATAAGATGTCGTCTCTTTATAAATTCAGGCTCTTTATGAGAAACGTCTCTTGGATCCTCGCTTGGATCACCTAATAATATCTAGACCAACAATTGAAATAGGCGGAACAGCCAAACTTAAACAATGGCTTTAAAAACAAAATACTTGAGAATCAAAACGCTCCCACGCAAACTAACAATGCCATTCGATAAAGCAAGTTTGCTCTATCAGATGACGGTGTTAGATTGCTTGGATATGCTTTGATTCTCGAAGAATTTGCGTTTAAAGCCATTGTTTACGTTTGGTTGTTCCGTCTATTTCAATTATTGATCTAGATATAATTCCTTTCCAAAAATGAAGAAGAACACGTCACAACAAAAATAAGCCAGTTGTCTCCTCTTCCTCTTAGGTTTTTGTGTACATTCAAGAAAAGTGAAGGGACGTGTACAAAACTTCACAAAAATTTGATCATCACATTTTAATTTATTATTTTCTGCGCCCTGTTATACCTAAAATTATATGCAAGATGCCGCGAACTCGTCGAAAACGCAAGCTTTCAGGAAAGTTGAATGATTGTCCGGAACAGGATCGATGCGAAAGGGAAACAAAAATCAAGACTGAACCCGAGGACGATCTTCCAGCGTCTGGAGTCTGCTGTTTGTGCAAGGCTTCCGCCGGAGTACAGCTATCGGCACTGTTCGAGGAAGGTTCCAAGCGGGCAGATCCAACAACGGTGGACAAAATAAAGATTTGCATCGGACGGGAGGTATATTGATAGAAACTAAATTGAATGTTTTTTTTTTCCCTTGGCTTGATGTATAGTTGTATAACTGGCAGGTTCTCGTTTGTTAGCAATAAATTACAATTACGACATTGGGTACTGATTATTCTCTTACACTATTTTTGCTATTTGTAGATGTCACCCGAGACGGATCCGGCAGCGAGAATTTGCTGCCTTTGTCTCCAAGAGTTGGATGCGCACCACGGTTTCTGGAAGCAGGCTTTGCAGTGCAATGATTATGCTCAGAATCAAATGGCCGCAGATGAAGCCGAAGTGGTCGACGCTCCAACTGAGATTCGGGTCTGCCGATTTTGCCTGAAGATTGGTGGTAAATTACTGGATCTATTTCCGGAAGGAGCAGCTTCAAATGAGCATCAGCTGGACAAAATTCGGGAGTGTTTAGCAGTTCAGGTAAATTTGTATTATTACAGTATGGTAAAATCGTGATGGTTAGTTCTGTTTAATTTCCTGATTGCAGATGAATTCTTGGGATCCTGTGACGAAGATTTGCCGAGCCTGTATTCAACGGATTCAAAAATTCCTGGATTTTCAAACAAAGCACGTACCGGTATCGATATTTCAGCAAGAAAACGCTGCAAGTTCATCATACCCGTCTAATGGGATGCTGCAGGAAGAGACCCAAAGCGAAGGTTTGGGTTTGGAACTTAGCGTGCTCGGTTCAAATAGTTCGATAGAGGATGAAAACAAACGAATAGATCAATTGACCGGGGTTAAGCCGAAGCCGGAAGCGATCCGGCCGGAGATCGTGGAGCTGCTTGGAGCCGATTCGGATGCAAGGAATTTTAGCGTTGTGTTAAAGAATGGCGAGCAATTGAAGGTAGCCTTTGAGGGCTATCAATTTCGATTCCATTCGACGACAGGTAGAGGTGGCACCTTGTGGTATTGTGTAGAATCAAAACTTCGAAGATGTTGTGTACAGTTGGAGATTGATTCCAAGGGGGAAATAGCTTCTATAACAAGCAAACGCAGCAGACATGTTCACCCAGTTCTGCCGCCTAAAATTATGGAATGTCCCATAGGGAAAGGATTCGTACAATCCAGCGACAATAATGAACCGTTCTGGTTGTTCAACTCTCGGCAAATGTATAACAACCAGTCAAGAAGCTTGATATTTGCGGGATTCCGATATTTTTTACATTGCTGCAATAACAGTAACCCGATAAGTATTTGGCACTGTGGCAGACGAGGGAAAGGGCTTTGCATGGCTATTCTGGAGGTAGGAGGAATATTTCAGCACGTTCAAATCATAGGTGCCCATAATCATGCAGCCTTGAAACAGGAAATTATTGATGTGGTTTTGAAGGGATCTGCGATTGATTTAGAAACCACGGAAGCAATAGATGCATTCCAAAAAAATAATCAGGTAAAGGCAGTTAAGCGAACAGCCGGGATTTCCAAAGAGCAGCAACGGCGTGCTATAAAATCGGTTATGAAAGAGAAAAGTCCTGATATATTCCAAGTTCTCCAGGAGGACGATCCGGAGCGAAATTTTGAATGTGTGAATGCTGGTTCTAAGCTAAAGATTAAGACGGAAGGCTTTGAATACCGATATTATGGGACTCAAGAGGATGAATCAACGCTTTGGAAGTGTATAATGGATTCGTTACATCATTGTTTAATGATGGCAAAGGTCAGTGGGAATGGTAAACATTTGGAAATTTACAAAGGCTCACGCCACAGCCATCCAGTGGAACCTGCAGAGATGTTCGGTTATCCTTTAGGGAAGCGGATGATTGGAGATGAACCATTGTGGATGTTAAAGCGGTTCTCCATCTACTACGAAAGCCGGTACGTTATATATCGGGATAATGTATTCATATTGCAGGAAGTAAATAAGAAAGGCGTCATACGCTGGAAATGCTTAAGAAAGCAAAGTTGTCATGCTTTGCTAATCGTCAAAGGAGACTTTAAGGACGTTTGCTTGCGCAAAGATCATTCTCATGAGAAGACACCACAAAAAATCATTACAAGATTAATAGAAGGTCGTTCAAATCCGTTGAGTCCAGCAGAAAATATCTCCTTCAAGGAACGACTTCTGTCGGTTCCTTCGATGACTGGGAAAATCTGGGACGAAGTTCGAAACGAACACGAAACCTTCTACGTTCTGAATGAAGTAAAAACTGGAGATAGAGTTGGCTACGGCTTGATATTCCGAGGCTTCCGATATTCGTTCACTTCGCAGGACCAGTATGGAACTAGTCGATGGCTGTGTATGAAACAGGAAGGGTGTCGTGTGGCAGCCGTTGTGGAGGGGATTTACGAGTCTATCTATATAAAAGAAGAGCACACTCACGAAGTTATGTTGGATTCCGAAATGGATCTAATGATCCAACGAAGTGCGAACAATACTCTATCTGATGCCGCAGAAGGCAGTGGTTTAGTTGAACATTTGGCGAATGACTATGATTCGAACAACATACTATCTATACTTGCTCGCCAGGATCCCGATAGGAACTTTTCGGTCAGTAGAATGAAAGCCAAGCTACTCATTCATTTCGATGAAGAAGATTTCCGTATAAACCTTCGAGAATCAGATGGGACAAGTTTATGGAGTTGTACCTGGCTACATGTACGAAAGTGTCCAGTCGTTCTCCATTTAAGTGCTGATGGTAAACAAGTCACCACCGTTGATCCGGAAAAGAAACATAACCATTCCGAAGAGCAAATTGCTCTCTTCTATTTGGCATGCGGCAAAGCACTCGTCTACGATGAATATATTGGAGCCAGTCGGTACTACTGGTTGTTCAGTTGCCAATCCGAGTACCGCACAAATCGAGCCATTATCTACCAAGGCTACAAATACTACCTTCACACAATTGGAAACAACAGAATGAGTTCCTGGAAGTGTCGCGTAAAAAAGTGCAAAGCATTTGCTCGCGTCGAAGACTGCCTCAAGGTAATCACCTGCAAGAACCACCACACCCATGATCCTCTCCCGGACGGGGAAATTCTCGCCATCACCGGTTCAACCGAAGTGGATAAAGATTTGCTGCCGGATCCCAGTATCCTTGCATCCGATGGCGCTCCGGCAAACGAAGGTCCACTTCGCCCATTTACCTTGTTGAGGCTTCTCTCAAGAAACGATTCGGATCGCAACTTCCAGGTATCGATCGACAAAGAGAAGATGAAAATTCTCCAGAATGGTTACGAATATTACTATCAATCTTCCAATTCAGCTCACTCCCTTTGGAAGTGTATCTACAGCTTCATCCGTCGTTGCCGTGCTGTGCTTTATGTTGACAACCAGTGCAAACAAGGATTCCTACCAAAGATCCCCAAACACAACCACCCCGTCGAACTGTGGGACATTTTCCGCTATCCTCTGGGGAAAAACAGCATCATGGATAGCAACACGAAAACCATGAAACCCTTCTGGTACCTAATGCAGTCTGACTTTCTGCGATCTTACCCCATACTAATATATGACCAGAACAAATTCCACATGACTTTTATAAACGAACACGGAGACAGTTGCAAGTTTCGGTGCGCAGGGCAATCAGGGCAATACTGTACGGCAACACTGACCGTAACGATGTTGTTCGAATCAATAGCTGCCACCGGCAGCCCGCATAACCATGAATCTCCGTCGGAGGAAAAGATAGCGACATGGATTCGGATCTACGGAGGGGGTGCAGCGGACGAAGAACACGAAGAAGACAGTGAATGCGACAATCAGATAGCATTTGTTGAGGTGCCAATGGACAGCGATGATACTCTGAAATGCGACGAACTGTAATGTTGTAGGTAAGTTTAAAAGTTGTTTAAGTCTTATACGAGAGCAATTCTCGCTGAAACCATTTCACTAGGTTCTCAAAAACCATTTTTTTGTACTCATTCAGTAGTTCTGGTTATGAAACATCGACAAAGGTAAAATTTAAGGTAATCAGGGGCTGTAACTCTTTTCAAAAGAGCTTTATTTTTGCGTATTCTTGATTCATTAAACTAATATAGATATTATCTTTCTCAAGCAAACCCCTAATTTTTATACACCATAGTAAAGAGGAAAGGGCTTTCATTTGGCATGTTCAGAAATTTTGGCGGTCATATTGGATTTATTAATAAAAAATGCGTTTTTTACGAGCTTACCTACCACCGATTTTTAAAATCGGTGGGAGGTAACTCGTGAAAACGCATTTTTAAGAATAAATCCAATATGGCGGCCGAGTTCAATATGGTCGCTAAAATTTCTAAACATACCAAATGAATGCTCTAACTTTCCCCTTTACTATAGTGTATAAATATTAGGGGTTTTCAAGAAAATGCAAAAATTAAAAAAAAAAAACTTTTAATAACTGTTAGAGCGTCTAGTTACCATAATTTTTACATTTTCCGATAGATTTTTCTAGTTTCATAACTAGAACTTTTGAATGAGTAAAACAAAATTGATTTTTGAGAACCTCGTGCAAAAAGTGGACTGGTTTCAGCGAGAATTGCTCACGAATCAATACTGGATCATTCCATCGGATCTTCTGCAAGCCTTTCCGATTTTTTTTTTATTTTCAGGCACGATTGGTTTCTATTTATGTTTTGTAACAACTGAAAATATAATCATTCAACCCATCGCAGAACAAACTAGACGTGTTTCATTTGTACTACGAACTAGACTCCGAAACAATTTGTGGCGACGATAAAATTGGAAAACAGGTTGGGGAAATGACGGCTTCGGCATGACAGACTATTTTCGGCAATCCAAATTGAAACACTATTTTCACTGGATTTTCTTACGAAAACACTTCGCTGAATGCATACAAACGATTCTTTATGCTTTCAGCTTCAATTTGACTATATTTTTACCACTGAGAAAAAGCAATCTAGCAAGGTTTTCTTGAAATGCAACACACGCACTACAAATTGTAGCTGATTTCGAGTTGCCGATAATAGAACAGCAGATTTACATGCAGTTCAAATGGAACGGGTGCCGAAGAAAAACTGGTTGCCGACAATACTCGCTCTCACTAGAGAAGATTGGAGCTTTGTAAAAGCGTTTCAAAACAGTTTTTGACAATTCTTTCGACTGAAATTGTTAGAGCAGCTGGCAGTAAAATATTGTAAACAAACCAATACTGCATATGTGTGCGTTCCTTAGAGAAAAAGGCTATAGAAAGAACGTCGCTGCTTAGGTTGCCGAGAATACGTAAATTCCCCTATTGCCATTTCAGGGAAAACATTTCAACACAACTGACAACCGCACCATGGCTTATTCATTTTTTGCGCCGGCCCTCAACTTAATGTTTTAGATGCACTTTCACAGTTGCTAATTGAGAGCTTTCTATGCCTTATATGAATATATCGTGAATTGGTTATCGTTAAGTTAAAGGCAACCAATTCGTGATATATTCCACATAAAGTTGGCTGATATTCAAAAAACGCCGGCGTCGGTGGTCTAGTGGTAAGCGTGACTACACTCTGAAAAATCTTCACGTCCAATTGACGTGAAAACATAGGTAGTTTTCGTCCACCCTATTCTTCACGTAACTTTTACCGGAATTGCACGTAGTCGATCAAAATTCAGCTTCAATTATCTACGTGATTAGTCAGGTAAATAAGACCTGATTTTCACGTACTGCTTACGTGAAATCGGGTTGAAAACTACTGGACATATGGTGACTTTTACGTGACATTCCGTTTTGTTTAAAATGCTTCTCATGTAATTTGTACGTGATTTTTTTTAATGAGAATAATGGGAAGTATATTTAGAAGCAGTCAATATTATGCAATTTTATCGGGAAGATATAAATTTCACGTGTTTAAATTAATACTTATATCCAGTGCGCGAAACAGTCAGGTTCATTGAGTTATTTTGATATGAATATGAACTGCCATCTGCCTCATCATTCACTGCCTCGTGAGAGTCTGAATGATTCAGAGGTAAACGAGTCACTGACAGCCGAGCACTCAGTCAGTAGCTCAGTCAACACGTTTATTCTGCCGTGATGGTACTACTCGTGAGTGACTGAATGTTTTTGTTGGCTCTTTCATTGCCTCGTCCTTTACCGTTTGGTACAAACGGTCTGCACAGAGCAATGTATTGAATAGTGCAGTGCTTTCACACTCAGCCTAGGCAGTCAATAATTTTAAGCTCTGCTTTATATCTACTCTTAAAATTGTAAAATATTGACTAAATGATTATTGTAAGGTAGAAACGTGTATGAGTTTTTTTTTTTATTTCTGACAAAATATTAACACTTGTTTGCAGACTCAAAATGGTGATGTCACCGTCTGAAATTATAAAACTAGAAAAAGGATATATACATATAATCATAAATAAATTCATGTAAAAGAATCTAACTACCGTCCAACATTTGCAGCAAGCGCTGAGGAACTTTGAATCTTTAAGAAGTTCTTCCAACACGCTCGGTGACGCCATATTGATTTTATTCTTGCGTACTTGAAAATCACGTAAATCTCGTTTCCCGGAAATATCGAAGTCCCAAACACACAAACACAAATACACTAGATCTGTTTACGTGAATATACGGTCAATTTCACCAACATTTTTAGTAGACATGGTGTGTAATTCAGGTCAAAGTTACTAACGTCACGTAACATTTGAGATTTTCTAAATACAGATCAGGTACGTGATATTTCACGTAAATCGGACGGGAAGATTTTTTAGAGTGTACTTTCTCACCCAAGTGGGTCTGGGTTCAATCCCAGCCGAGGTCAGTGGGATTTTTCTGAAGCATAAAAATCTCTGGTCACGTCTTCCTTCGGAAAGGAAGTAAAGCCATTGGTCCCGGCCCATGTGTGTTTGAATGGGTGCGATATCCTACGCAGATGTGGAAGCTGCCTTTCTGCACATTCGATGTCCGTGGGTGATTGGCACTAGATTGCGGAACAGAGACCGACGTTAAATAAAGGAATGAAGATTTTTTAAAAAAACATACATTGACATGTCGGTGATAGCTCGGAAAAAAACTATAATCTATTTGCATTTTTTTTCTTCAAATTATAACATTCTGAAGGAGATCGCGACCGCGATTAATTTGTATTCGATCCAGCATTCAATCAACTTTTCAAGTGCAGGATATTTTGCACGCTTTAAAAAATTTAGACGCCTCAAAAGGTCCTGGACCTGACGGAATTTCTCCAGTATTAATGAAAGTCTAGCAATGTAACTCACTGTCACTGGAATCCGGATCCTTCCCAAAAATTTGGAAAGCTAATTTTTAGTGCAGGGAAAGCCGGGACGAAAATCATCTCTTGCATTCCTAAAATTTTCGAGGCAATGGATCATTTTAGATGGCTGAGTTTTGAACCCACCACAGCTTTCATTTGGCGCTACTGTATACGGACGAACCAATGTAAAATACTGTGGTAGCCACAGTACGGTGCTGTCAAAACCTCAGCATCTTCAATCATCCATTGTCAACGAAAAATTATTTCTCCAAATCAAAAATAGAATTTCTGACATACAACACGGCTTCTTCAAGGGTCGTTCGACTTCGACAAATTTACTTGAGTACAATGGATAATGGAAACCACGTAGAAACCCTCTCTACAGACTTTAGTAATGCATTTGACCGCAATGCTACTCTTTAAATTGCAAAAAAAAAAACTACAAGGGACAGCCCTAAGGGGTTGTACGCAATGGTGACGAAGGACTACGTGGTCTTATATAATAAATCTTATTTGTTAACTGCAGCAGGAGCTTGGGTTTTGTGTAGGAATAGGAATTTGAGCGGGGTTCTCTCTCTGTTTATACTCTTTAGTATGACGTGCTTGACATAGATGGCCCATAGTGACTCGCGAAGAGCTACTGATTCCGATCAATAGCGGTGCGGCTATTTCCTCCTTCTATGGATGCTCATGTGGGCAGCAGCTCGCTGCTTGCAGGCCGCCTTTCGTTGTGTACTGGAGAACACTACCACTCACCACGCGTTTGGTGAGACCGGATAAAATTCAACTTTGAAATCTGTGTTAGAGAAATCGATTTTTGAAGGCAATCGGTGATAATTTTAATTATGATAGCAAAAGTTGCACATTCGTGCAATTTTCAATAGTGACATTTTGAAAAATGATAAAGTCTAAAACTGCGTAGAAATATTTCTGATCGATTGGTGATAAAATGATTGAAATTGGTCCAGGGGCAGCTGGGTTATTAACGTTCAAAATCTTTCATAATTTTGTTACATGTTCCATTTTCGGTTTTCACAAAGTGTACCCCCATATAGAAATAACAGACGTAGTCCTACGTCAAAAATGAATTATATTTAACTAACCGATAACAAATAATTAAATTCAACGGAAAGAAATCGACCCCAATCAAGTCACTTCAGCCGTCCTCCTTGGGACTTCTTCTTTTTTTTTGTCGAGGCTCGGTAGCTCAGTGGTTACCGTTTCTGCTTACTGAGCAGAAGGTCGGGAGTTCAATCCCAGGCCCGTCCCCTTCCTTGCAATTTTTCACTTTGCCTTATTCTGTACCCACTAAATTTTAATGAAAACAAATTCTTCTTTAACACCGATCGCATCACTTACCACAGTGTGGGTCCTGATCTAAAAATAGAAATTGGATGAGTGCGCTCGCGTGTGTGTGTGTGTGTGTGTTTGTGTATTATAATCGCTCTACCAAAAACGATCCCTGCGTGTGCGTGTGCAACCTTTCCCCACATCCAACATCCCAGTGATTTCTCGTGGAAGCGCAGAGGATTTCTCAGTTTCCTTCACAGCGAGTACCACGTCAACACATTCCTTCCCATTCCCTAGTTGACCTGCTTTCGGACACGGCCGGCGCTGGTATTGCTAAATATTAGATCTCCAAATCTTACACATTGAGGATGAATGTTAGTCCCAAACATCATCTGTTGGTTCTCTGTGTAATTGCAGCTGATCTGGTAATAACAGAGCAGCAACCGTGGGCGGTCAATCATGCTCATGCTCCTTGGGACTTCTTCTTTTTATTCTATACGTAAACGACATTTCTTTCATTCTCAAAAACATTAAAGTTGAATGAAAAACACATATTCTACGTATGGTGTAAAAAAAGTCAACTTGAATTCAATGTAAAAAATGCAACTTAAAGGAGAGGCCAAGGTGTTGAAATGCAGAATTAGATGTCGTCGAGATTGAATGCGTATGTTTAAATATCGTTGAACCAGGTACATTTTGATGAAGATGGTACTACCTATTTTACCTCTTTTTATTGCGATACCAACCATCACAGAAATCGACTTTGAAGCATCATTAACAATACACTTGGTCCGAGAAGGGGCTATTTCATTTTTAGGTTCGCCCGAGTTCGCCCACCACCCGGAATGAACGCTCGGTGCATCATAGATTTGATATGATTAGTAATATCAAATAGTGTTACATGCAAACGAAAAAGAGATACAACCAGGACCAGCTACTTTGTGATTTATGGTTACTTTGGTACTCACATGAAATGTTGTACAAGTACCACAAGTTCAACAACGCCCAACTACGGACAGCTCAATGTTAATACCATTTACTCTTTGAATCAACGTACAACAACATGATAATCTGATAATACGCAGTGCACACTTGATCGCCACGCGGAGTGACAGTATGAAAAGTATGACAAGAAAAACAAACAATTGAAAAAAAAATCAGATTGACCGCCCACGGTTGCTGCTCTGTTATTACCAGATCAGCTGCAATTACACAGAGAACCAACAGATGATGTTTGGGACTAACATTCATCCTCAATGTGTAAGAACTGGAGATCTAATATTTTAGCAATACCAGCGCCGGCCGTGTCCGAATGCAGGTCAACTAGGGAATGGGAAGGAATGTGTTGACGTGGTACTCGCTGTGAAGGAAACCGAGAAATCCTCTGCGCTTCCACGAGAAATCACTGGGATGTTGGATGTGGGGGAAAGGTTGCACGCACACGCAGGGATCGTTTTTTAGTAGAGCGATTATAATACACAAACACACACACACACACACACGCGAGCGCACTCATCCAATTTCTATTTTTAGATCAGGACCCACACTGTGGTAAGTGATGCGATCGGTGTTAAAGAAGAATTTGTTTTCATTAAAATTTAGTGGGTACAGAATAAGGCAAAGTGAAAAATTGCAAGGAAGGGGACGGGCCTGGGATTGAACTCCCGACCTTCTGCTCAGTAAGCAGAAACGGTAACCACTGAGCTACCGAACCTCGTCAACAAGAAAAACAAACAATTGAACGCATGATAAAATTGAAAATGTTCTATTTTTTTTTTTCTCGATACCAATGTGGATCGGTTCATTGAACTGATTGGGTATTTTTCAATGATTAATCAAATTGAAACACTGATCTTCGTTTCTTTCATAAATTTATTTCAATAGTTGCTCTATGTGTCCTCCATTTTCGGTCTCTTTCACAAGGTTTTTTTTTTCCTTGGTTTGTTTTCCATCGATCTTGTTTTCCGTGCTGAGCACCAATGCTACCGACGCCAGGAAGGCAGCCCCCACACCTGGACCCTACCTATCGACCCATCAACTCATGAACCGGGGACCAACGGCTGGCTTTACTTCCCTTCCGAAGGAAGGCGTGATCAGAGATACTATGCCTCAGAACATCCCGGCGGCGCCGACTGGGATTGAACCCAGGCCTGCTGGGGTGAGAGGTAATCACGCTTACCACTACACCACCGGCGCCGCTCTCTTTCACAAGGTTAATATTATTCATTTTCTCTTGTATCTTTCGAGCAGCAAGACAAATTCGACCAACTAGCGTGTTGATTGTCACCGAATACACCTCTTCCTTTATGTACCCCCATAAAAAGAAGTTCATGGGAGTCAAATCCGGATCGAGAAAAAATAGAACATTTTCAATTTTCAACATGCGTTCACAATTGAACCATACAGGTAACTCTAAGCCTAGTAGGTCCCGAAAAAAAGTGCTCAACTTTTTGGTTCAGCTCTGGTACTATCTTCGGTCCCAAGCTAATCGATGCACCCCTCGTAACATAGGAAAATCCACGAACCCCTCATTTTATCTGTCAAACTTTCATGGCAATTCAAAACAAACATAGTGTAGTACTAGAATTTCGAATAGAATGGGGTACGTTAATCGATTTGCTTGGGACCAATAGGCTAGTCAAGTAGTGAGCCAATTTAAAATCGATAGTTTCGTATTGATTGTTATTTAACCGAGCTTGGGACCGAAGATAGTACCAGAGCTGAGCCAAAAAGTTGAGCAGGTTTCATCGGGACCTACTAGTCTTATAGTACGTTCAGACTACAGAGTTATAACATGTTATAGCGCTATCTTGATGGTGGTTTCTGTGTTGCAATTATTTGACAACCGTTATAACATGTTATAACTGCTCAGTCTGGACAGCGCTTTAGAGTTAACACTACCGATCATAAGTTTAAGGACACTCACAAAAAAAACCATGCAAATATGTTTTGTTCAATGATCTCTCATTTAACGTTCAATTTTCGATCTCCAAAGGTTATTTGAATGGTTTGAATGGTATAGCATAAGTGTTCTACTATTACTTTTATTTCAAAATTTGGCCAACCCAATTCTAAGAAAATCAGTCACGATTCTTCAGAGTAAATTTTGAAAAATATTGTAACTTTGGGTGAACTTTTAGCACACAAAATTTGAAAATTATATTGAAAATTTGCCTACGAGGAAAGTTCCATTCAATACCTTTCAAATGATCCAAAGAGAACGAAAATTGGACGTAACATGACAGAGATATGAACATAACAAATTCTTCATGTTTTTTTGGGGTGTCCTTAAACTTATGATCGGGAGTGTACCTATATGGTATATAGTGCACGCCAGTGACAAGGCATATACTGCCTATAATCCCATATCAGTCCCATATGGAAAAAGTAGGCATTGAGAAAATGGCAGTCGAAGTTACAAAGTGCAATTCCCATGTAAATATGTGATAAATGATAGTAAATTAATTGAACATTTTTTCAGGTTAAAATCTGTTGCAATGAAGCTTGCATGTTTTGTTATATCAACGAAAAATATGGCAATTCAAAAATCAGACCAGCGTGAAACTTTAAAGGCACAAATGTCAGCTTCCACAAAACATACAAATTTGAAATTGCTACTGCTTGTTTGCTGTGCTACTACAAACAGAGAGTAGCAATTTCAAATGTGTATGTTTTGTTGAAGCTGACATTTGTGCCTTTGAAGTTTCACTGTAAGGCTTCCTTAGAGTATCACCTTAACTTGAACTATAGGCGATTGAATTTCAGGATGGGACTGATATGCGATTATTTTGCTTGATGGGACAAACTGACCTGATGTTGTTTTCACATTTTTCAAGATCAAAGTCCATAGTTTTATCACATAATATGAAAGTAGATGCCAATTGATAGTGGATAGCGTTGTTATCTCAAAATTGACGAAAATTCATATGGGACTGATATGCGATTATAGCATAGAGGTAACTCTAAGACCACTGGGTCCCGAAGAAAATCATTATTATTTTTGGCTCACTCAGTACCAGAACAACGGTCCCAAGCAGTCCCAAGCTATTTCACTCACCCCTGCATGTTCTGCATGAATCCACACACCCCTGATGTTATCTGTCAAACTTTCATAGCGAATCAAAACAAACATAGTGTAGTAATAGAATTTCAACTAGAATAGGGTACGTTAATCGTTTGCTTGGGACCAATAGGCTACTAAAGTGGTGAGCCAATTTAAAATCGTTAGTTTCGTATTGATTGTTGATTATAGGCAGTATACCAATAGCAGCGTTTGACAGTAGGCAGCATGTCCCGGGCTCAAATCGTTTATTTTGCTGTGCTGGGCCCGCTTTCACGATATAACATGTTGCCTACGCGCCTGCCACTGGGCTGGTATAGTCGCTATATTCATAGTCTGGCGAATAGAATTTCGATCAATCAAAAAGCGGGACCAATTCAATATATTGTAGACCAACAATTGAAAAGGTACTATCAACTTTTATAAACAAAACTTTGGCTATTCTTTCCTCGCCAATCGAACGCAAATTACCAGCATCATCGGATAGGGGAAACTTTCCTCAATCCAAAGATGGTGTTAGTTTGCGTAGGCGAGCTTTGAATCACGGTTTTCGAAGTTTTGTTCACAATAGCTGATGAGCTCTTTTCTGTTGTTGGTCGTGATTTGCTCGGTTGGTTCCGCTATTTGACAGCTCAATTTGTTCCCGAGATTCTATCCGCCAGACTATGAATATAACGCAGAGGATTTTAAACAACTAAAAGAACTAAGCGAAAAAACAATTGTACCGACCAATCGCGATTCTACCTATGCCAACCTTCCGTTCGTGCCCCTAGGCACAGACTCTTCTACTTTCTACGCGATTTTATTTCGTCCGTATTTTTAATATACTAAGTACCTATTATATGTATAATGTAGTAAGGAAAAACAACTTTTTGGAATGGATTCTGGGTAATATCATTAGAGTCACTCCAGAATGCATCAGTGAGTTTGAATAGGGAAAAGTGGACAGTGAACACCTTAACAAAATGGATAGTTTCTAGCCCTATTTACATCATGAATGCATTTTTTGCATCGCAAGAAGTCATTGTTTACAAAAGCTGTTACGCCCTTATTCCTGCTCTATCAAGCAATGGTAGTTAAAAATGCACTGCTAACACATTTGAATGGGGATCTATTGGGGTTGCGTGTTAATATAACGATTGTATGAACATACCTATGAAATTCTGGGCTTAATTGTGTTGCTAAATCATCGGTTGACTGGGGGTGCTTTGTGGGTTGTTATAGTCGTTGCCTCGGACCGACTTCTTCGTCAGAATTGGTTCCTCTCATGATGGAATCCTCATCACTGAATCCGGAGAAGTCAGAGTCGCTGCTAGTCTCAAATTCCGACTCCACCATGCTACTAAACAGATTTTTAATGGTTTGTTTGAACTTGCTCCTTTCTTGTGTTATATCCTGCCATACTTCAATAAGAATTTAGCTCCTCTCCACGTCCTGTCAAATACAGGTTTTCTATTCGTTTTAGGTTGAGTGCCGTTTTCAAAAATCCGCCTGGATCGCTCCTAAGGATGTGCCCGTAGTAGTTGAGCGGTTGAGCCTTGATTGTCTTATCTTGTTGTTTATCGTATATCCACCCAGCCACTCGGGGACAATGTGGACACTAGTACTTCTCTCTTGTGGAAGCTCTTCGTGATGATTGTTCCAGAATGTGAGTGGATCATAGTCTTCCAATTTACTTCTTCACCGAGATCCTCCGAGAAGGGCTTTCCTGATAGTCTGTTATGATGGTTTTGTTTTTATGAAAATAAAATGCCTCTAGCATGGCTATATGTTGATCCAGCGTGCAGATAGTTAATATCGTTGTCTTCTTCAAAACTTCATCGTCTTGATCTAAAGAAAAGAAAATTGAAAGCCAAATTCAATGGTAGTACTTGTGTGATGTCGCATGCCAAAAGTTTTGAACCAAATAATTTTTGCATCCAATAGCCTCAATTATTTAGAAAAAACAATTCATAGTTAAAATCATAATTCCAAAGTACTCAATTATTTAATTTTGGCTATTAGTTAAATTCTAACATACTTTTAGTCTGCTACATCACAATTGGCAACACTAGTGTGCATCTTTCAAAATATAAAGATACATACAAGCCCTGGAACCTATAGTTGCTATATTCATAGTCTGGCGGATAGAATCTCGGGAACCAATTGAGCTGTCAAATAGCGGAACCAATCGAGCAAATCATGACCAACAATAGAAAAGAGCACATCAGCTATTGCGAACAAAACTTCGAAAACCGTTTTCTCGTGATTCAAGGCTCGCCTACGCAAACTAACACTATCTTTGGGTTGGGGAAAGATTCCCTTATCCGATGATGCCGGTAATTTGCGTTCGATTGTCGAGGAAAGAATAATCAACTTTTGGTTTACAAAAGTTGATAGGACCTTTTCAATTGTTGGTCTACAATATATTGAATCGGTTCCGCTTTTTGATGGATCGATATTCTATACGCCAGACTATGAATATAGCGACTATACTGGAACCTGGTTGCAGTTAAGCAATCTTCAAGGTTATGCCAATGCCCAGGGCACTAGATAAAGTTAATTTTTTAGACTAAAATGAAATTAATAGTACAAGTAGGTTTCAAGCCTGCAGGGTTACTTCCACTCACGTCGCTATAAAAAGTGTTTTTCGGAATTCATTGGATGCTATTATGAAAGTTTGTACTTGTCAAGAACAAGAAGAGGTTGGAAGGTATGTATTTGACACATAAAACCTGTCAATTTTGCTTTCAGTGCGTCACAATCAGCGAATTTATGACTCGTGAGCGTTAATTCACTCAGAGTGAGCGCTCACGAATCGTAAAATCGCTGATTGTGACGCACTGAACGCAATAATTACAGGTTTTGTGTGTCAAACACCTAGTTTACAACCTTATCGTGTGACTTACAACTACTAACTATGATTATAATATCTACACAGCAAAATAAAAAATGTAATATCGATCAACGTAATTCAAGCTGATGTATGAAATAATGATGTAATAGCAAAAAGCAGATACAATATTACATCAATGGATGTAATCTTGTTCGCAAAATCGATGTATATCGTACAATGTGATATTACACAACCGATGGATTGACCTGGTTGCAGCAGTTTCGATGTAATATTCAACAACTTTTTTTTGCTGTGTAATGATTTCATAATTCCGAAAAACAATTTTTATAGCAAGTGAGTGGAAGCAAGCCTGCAAGCCTGCAACAGATTTTTCGTAACATATTTTCAATAAGTTGATTTTTAATCGGGTGGCTTCATTGCCCCACTTCCCTTCAAATCAGTCGACCCCATGTATTTTTTTTCCAAATGGCTGTGATATCAAGTCAAGCAACTAAAGTTTTTCGTTTGATTTTAATACTTTACTTACTTGCTTGTCCCGTCGGCACATCTTCATGACAATTGGTACGATGTTTCTGCAGCAACGTCTTCCGCGTGAATCCTTTATCGCAGTCCTGGCATTTGAACGGTTTCATACCGGAATGCTGCAGGACGTGTCGCTTCTTGTCGGTGGGATACATGAAGGTTTTGTCGCATAGATCACAAGAATACGGTCGCTCCTGGGTATGTGTTCTCAGGTGCAGGCGTAGGTTGGCGTTTGCCTTGAACTTACTCGGGCAAAATGAACAAAGGAAAGGCGTTTCTTCGCTGTGCAATAAATTTTTGTGGTACTTCAGATAACTTTTCCGACTGAATCCTTTGTCGCATATGTCGCAAACATGTTTCTTGCGTTCTTGAATTGCGGAATGTAGTTTTAGATGCGACAGCAGATTAGATTTCGATCTGAAGCTTTTGGAACAGGAACTGCACGGGAAAGGTTTCAGCGTTGTGTGGGTCCTTTCGTGATTGTCCAGAACCCTTCGATTACTGAATCGTTTGCCGCACGAAGGACACTGGTGATTTTTCAGTTGGTAGACACTCTTCCGGTGCAATTTGTATCCCCGCTCGGTAGTGTATCGCTTGTAGCATACGGAGCATTCGAATGGTTTTTCGCTGTTGGAGGTTCTTTGGCGCTCGTGTGCTTCCTTTGAATGTTGCAATAACTTTGTTTTGGCTTGGAATATTTGTTCACAGCCACAACAACGGAAGGATTGATTACCTTCTTTGCCATCTTCCTTGTTCTGGGTTTGGTTCACTTCCGTTTGTTCTACTTGTTTCAAAGGGTGTTCAATCGGAGCAAAATCTGGTTCTGAGATTCGGGTGGGCTCAGACTCTTCGATTTGAAAAAGCTTTAAGTCTTCAACTTGGCTAACCTGTGGCTCTTCAATTTTAGTATGCTCTGGTTGTTCGGTTTTAGTAGGCAGTAGATCTCTAATTTGTGTAGGCTTTGACTGATCGACTTCAGCAGTATTTGGCTCTTCAATTAGAGTAGGCTGTGACTCGACTATGTAGGTGGTTTCGATTTCTGGCGGAGTGTGTTCTATCACTTCTTCATATAGTATTTTGTAGCTAATAACCGGAGCATCATAAATTGTTTTAAGTAGACTGAAATAGTAAATTTGCACGTTAAATATATGCACAGGTAAAATGATCTTTTCAATACATTACTTTTCCGTTTTGATAATTGACCTTAATTTTACGTCTGACTCCAAACATTTTTGCTTTAGACCCAGTGCTGACTTCAAATCTTTTTCGCATGTAGCGCATACAATATCTGGTAATCCATCATTTTCCAGCACCTGTTAGGGAAAAAAAAACTGCTTTAATAATTTTTGTCAAGAAGAGACATCGCGGGTTTTTCGTGTTTAATAGCGATTTATTCGAAATTTGAGATAAGAGCATACAAGCTTTAATACCTACATATGTTAAATATTACTATGGGTTACAATATTTGTTTCTTCTGTGTACGTTCTTTATTTTTTAACTTGGTATGAAGATTGGCTCTGAATCCATGGTCATGTCACATACTGGCGATCACGTTGGTCTAGATAAATTTTGGCAATTATAGCATCTCCTTCTTGTGTCTTTTATTTTGTTAACATCGACACGCTCAATATGGCTCCAATGACGGTATAAAAGAGTAACATATAAATGTCAAATGAATAAAAAAATTACATACCTATACTAAAAACATAGTCATTCACGGTTTACAGTACCAGCGCAAAACGAAGCAAATCTTCGGTGTAGCATCTGTCATATTTCCTTTTTCGTAATATTGTCCATGAACGCACAGGCTACTCAAGCACTCCATGTTATAGCCAGGCACCTACATCGAACATTTTATAATAATATTGTACCACGTTTGGCCTAACATTGTTGGACATAATGGTCTTTTTGACGTAGGACTACGTCTGTGATTTCTTTTTTTTTTTTCCTTTGGTTTGTTTTTTCCGTCGATCTTGTTTTCCGTGCTGAGCACCAATGCTACCGACGTGCCAGTAAGGCAGCTCGTGGACCCTACCTATCGACCCATCAACTCATGAACCGGGGACCAACGGCTTTACTTCCCATCCGAAGGAAGGCGTGATCAGAGATGTTATGCCTCAGAACATCCCGGCGGCGCCGACTGGGATTGAACCCAGGCCTGCTGGGGTGAGAGGTAATCATGCTTACCACTACACCACCGGCGCCGTTAGGTCTGTGATTTCTATATAGGGGTACACTCTGTGAAAACCAAAAATGGAACATGTAACACAATTATGAAAGATTTTGAACGTTAATAACTCAGCTGCCCCTGGACCAATTTCAATAATTTTAGCACCAATCGATCAGATATATTTCTACGCATCGCAATTTAAGACTTTTTATCATTTTTCAAAATGTAACTATTGAAAATTGCACGAATGTGCAACTGTTGCTTTAATAATTAAAATTATCACCGATTGCCGGTGAAAAGCGATTTCCCTAAAACAGATTTCAAAGTTGAATTCCATCCGGTCTCACCAAACGGTGTTTATTCAATCACCGCGTGGTGAGTGGTGGTGTTCTCCAGTACACAACGAAAGGCTCCCCGCAAGCAGCTAGCTACCAAGGCTGGCCTCAACTGCTGATTGATTCAGTTCCAATCACCGTGTGTGCTGATATCCGGTCGTCGGCATCAGATGTAGCAGCAGCAGTGCTTTCGGCGCGTGGCGTTGAACATTGTTCTCCAGTACACAACGAAAGGCTTCCTGCATGCAGTGAACAGCAGCCCACATGAGCATCCATAGAAGGAGGAAGAAGCCGCAGCGCTATTGATCGGAATCAGTAGCTCTGTGTGAGTCGCTGTGGGCCATCTATGCCAAGCGCGTCACCCTCATTCTAAACAACATCATCTGTGTTTAAAACCCTAATAGCTCAGCATTACTCAACCATCACGACAAAACGATCCTTTTCAGGACCACCATAAATTTGTAAAATAATATTGTTTGATAGGAATTTTTTCTACGAATCTGTTAAAATTAAGACTTTATCATTTAAGAAAATGTCACTATTAAAAATTTAACGGATGTGCAACTGTTGCTATGATAATTAAAATTGCGTGGTGAGTGGTAGTGTTCTCCAGTACACAATGAAAGGCTGCCTGCAAGCAGCGAGCTGCAACCCACATGAGCATCCATAGAAAGAGGAAGAAACAGCACCGCTATTGATCGGAATCAGTAGCTCTTCGTGAGTTGCTGTGGGCCTATGCCAAGTGCGTCATACTAAAGAGTATAAACAGAGAGAACCGCGCTCAAATTCCTATTTCTACACAAAACACAAGCTCCTGCTGCAGTTAACAAATCAGATTTATTGTATAAGACCACGTAGTCCAACGTCACCATTGCGTACAACCCCATAAGGCTGTACCTCGGAGTTTTTTTTTTTCATAACAGGATAACCTATTAACATATATATTGACTCACAAAATCATGAACAGTAAAACTCGAAAGAACTGCTCATGTTGAAAAGAAAGATACATTTTCGATTTATTTACGACTTTAGGCCAAAGAACTTATGACCTTATAATACATACCTAGGTACTATAATTTTAAGAACTTGAGCAAATGCATAAAAAAAACTTCTACATTGGGTTCTTTAATTTTGAGAAATATATCGGTAAGGTAATTCTAAAGTAGCTATTTTCACGCAAAATTTTACCGTGCATTAGGTTGTTGAAAATGTTATCGAAGTCGGTGATACTTGGTATTATCTCACTATATCTTACCTCCAATCCACACAACTCATTAATCATGCCAGCAAGTGGATCAATACCTTCGAATATTCTGTTGACATTTTGTGAGTGTACTGCAGTGGAAGCAGCACATATTCGGCAGTATTCCATCAGGAAATTAAAAAAAAAACACTGATTAATAAACTTTGTTTGCTTGACGTTATCACTGTTAACAAGGCTAAGGCCGATGTCGGCCCATCTCGCCGATTAATAAACTTTTACTCAAGGTTACGTTTTGTACCAAACCGATAAACACCGATCGGCCAAAATTTTATATTATTATTTATCTGTTATAAATACAAAAACTCCAGAGTGATTTGAGATTTGGGCGTAATTGCACGTCAATCTGCAATGTCTCGTGAATAAAAGCTCAATCTTGTTAAAAAAAAATATACCAAATGATGGAGGAATGATTCAACTGCCTGATTGTGTTATTAGTTTTGAGATTGAGCTTTTATTCGCAAGAAGTCAGCGATTGACGTGTTTGTTTACAAAAGCAATTACGCTCAAATTTCGAATCACTCCGGAACTGATTCCGGTTTTTAGCCACACGCTCCGTTCGTTTCCAAACGTTCCACCCTGTGACCTGTGTGTTCCGCACCGGTTGAAAATGGAGTTTGACGTTTCTCCAAGCGTTTGTATCATCGAGAGCGGCGATAGGTAAATAAACATTCGAGTGTTTTGGTTTGCTCGCGCTCGCATTAACTTCTTGTGAAAACGTTTTACTGATATTTGAATAGGAGCCACTTGCTTGGGTATATAATGGGCACAAAACGCAAAAATATGGAAGACGAAATGTCCAGGTAAGCAATGGGTTTGTAAATAAACATGTATGGAATCTAATAATCCTTTTCTAACGTCCACCCCCCAGATTCGAGGCGGAAATCTCAAAAGCAACTGGTCCCTCCAGCAGCGCGTCCTCAAATCCATTTATCCCTTCGCAAGTACGCACCGTTATTGGCTCACAAACCTACAATCAGGTGCAGCAAAAGCTGGCCACCGTTCCGAACCGTATACCGCCTCCTCCGGTACCGCCGTTCCTACCAACATACTCGACACCCATGCCCCAGCAGCATGCCGCCCCGGAGAAGTCCTACTCCACTGAGCCTACGCCGGCGGTCGTGAGCAGCGCCCCAAAGTTATACAATGCACGACCAACGGTTGGCACGTTGCCAAAGGTGGATACTCCGGCAGCCAGTAGTTCCATAGGTCCCACCATTTCCTCCACTCCGGTACAATCGGTTAGTCATTGCTTGGCAAATGAAAACGCCTCCGTGTTAATTGATTGGATTTTCTTGTGCCCTTTTCAGTATGACATTGCAAACATACAGTTTGAAGTGACCACTAAAATTAAGAAACAGAAAACGGAAAAGTCGGGCCCGAATCCGATTGCTGAAGAAGCTATCAAGGCGGCCCGAGCATCATCGGCTTTGCAGTCGTTTGGAAATTCTGATCGCAGGGGAAAGAAGGACCGCAAGGTAAGATTTTACATGATTATTGATTATTTAATGGAGAACTTGAGCTTTTTTACCAATTCCCGTTTTAATGCAGGGAAGGACATTTTTTTCTGTAAAAATAAGCTCTAAACAGATTTGTTTATTTGTTTATTTATTTAAAAATTCAACTGACAATTATTGTCTAAATGAATAAAACTTAAACTAAATAGTTAGGGTCAACGGTACGGAAAAGGCCAAGTAGCCGATGACGAAACACGTCAGCTGATACATTGAAGTCGAACATATAAAACAAGTTGTTGAATTGCCGGCTGATTGCTCGAATTGGCTCGTGTTGTGTATAATTCCGGCACCGTGGTTTCAAAAACAGAAAGTAGCGTTGACGAAGAGACCTCTTAGGGGCATACATATTTAGCTGTGACAGCAGTGTTGGACAGGCAATGTCACCTGTAAGAAGCTTTCCAGCGAACATAGCTTGAGCGACCGTCCGTCTCACCTCTAATGGCTCGATTCCCAGGAGACGGCAACGCTCCTCGTACGGAGGCAGGTTCGTTGGGTCACGCCAGTTGAGGAAACGAAGAGCATATCTCACAAACTTCCGTAGAGAACATAGTCAAACAAACAAAGTTCGATTTTTCGGTGATAAGAAATAATGTTACATTTTTATATGCTTAGACTCATCAAATTTCTTGAGCACCAGTCAGCAAAAATACCTAACATATTCTGGAGATCCCAGCAGTCCGAGAGGCTTTTAATAATTTTGTAGATTTTCGTATCGTCTGCATAGAAAACGTGGCATCCTGATGGTATCAGCAAGGCGACGTCGTTTAAAATTGTAATTGTAATTGTAATTGTTCAGTGCATAGGCTGTGCCTTCCGCTAAGAAGGCTTATCTAGGGACCAACCCCCTAGTCTATACACCTACTGTCCTTCCCGTTGCACTCGTCAGCTCGTGCGATACTCTAGACACACATGGGTGGTCGTATCCGGGTCCTCCCCTGGGTAGGCTCGTGTCCGTCCAGGTTCTGGTACATTAACTTATGCATGGTAATTATACTTTTAAAACTCACCTTTTGATTATAATGTCGAAATTGCTGAAACTAAATAAAGGTTAGCGATCCATATAAGGTGTGTGCTGCGACGGAGTAGTAATTGAAGGAAATGAGGTTCTGATGTGAAGTATAGGTAATTCTAAAATAGGTAAATCAATTAATCATTAGCTGCTAACAGTTACTAATAAATGGGTACGATAAATCACTCATCAATGAGTATTGCCACTCCCACTGAAAAATGGGCAAAACCTTAATCATAAATCGATATTCGATTCCTACCGTGTATTTAAAGTAAAGTTAGGATCTTATCAAGCAAGCACACACCTTTTACGATTCTTATCCTACTTACGGTTTCCTGCACATACGACTTTTCCTAGATACAAGCTTCGTCCAGTATACATTGGCTGTCTCCAACCGGCATGATCCTTTCTGTCTGTTTCCTCTTGCCGGTGCAAGTTTAATTCTTCTTTTCTTGTTCGTTTCTGGTTTCTGGTCGTGTTCCCATTTGTCCTCAGGCAGTTAATATTAGTACATGATAGGAAGAAAGAAAGAAATAGAACAAGTTAAGTGTGAGCCGCATGCATTGGTTACTTATTTGGGTCATGGTGTTGTCTTCCCTATTTATTTGCCCTAGTCGCTCTCCTATCGAACGTTTAACGCTGGATCAACAATAGAAAAGGGCCCATCAGCATTCGTAAACAAACCGCTCCAAAGCCCCCCACTCACAAAGCGAAGGCCACCCACGCAAACCAACACCATCATCGGATAGGGAAAACTTCCACCTACACGAAGACGGTGTTGGCCCGCGCGAGCAGCCCCCGATCTGTGAGGAACGGGTTCTGGACGGTCTGCCCACAAAAACCGATGGGCCCCCTTCCATTGTTGATCCAGAACTCACCCCCTTCCCTCACACTAGTATGGTCGGAAAAGAGAACCCATATTTAGAAATCTATCGCGAACTGCGATGCAGAAGATATTAATAGCAAACTAATCTGGAACTGGTCTAAGACATATGACCCAGTGAGCATTGACACCTCACACTGTTGTGAATGAGCACAGACGCGAGATTTACTAGAGTATTAAATACAAAACGCAAATTCAAAATAAAACTTGACAAGACATCGTCAATCCCCTTATTCTTGGGCAGGGTCTGACGATGTGAATCTGATTTTGATCAGTGAACGGGCCCCATATGGTACATTTTCTCACCATGAACCTGTCATTTCCAGCCTATCTGAACTATTTAATAAATGGAAACCATAACATGGGTTACGCTTCCCCTAAGCGGGCCCTCCGCATCCTATCTCTGTCTTATCTCAAATGCCAATGGTTTGAATGTATCAATATATACATTGGAAATGACGTTCAATCAAATAAACCCATACCCCACTCACTTGGCCAGGCTTCAGAATCGTCCAGTGGGCAGTGCGCTCTACACTCCAAGTTCCCTTTCTTTCAAATTCACCCCAAATTTGATATTTTACCCCTTTGAGTGTTGATTAATCACAATGAAACATTGTGACAGAGCACGGACTTGAGGTTACTAGAGTATTAAATAATCTAGGTCCTATTTAGGATTATATCTGAAAAATCCAAATTTGGCCAACGCCCACCAGCAAGGCGACGTCGTTTAAAAAGACCGAAAATAGTAGCGGTCCTAGGTTACTGCCTTGCGGGACTCCCGAGTTGGTTGAGAAAACATCCGATTCCGACGCGCCAATCTTGACATGTACATAGCGATTCACCAATGCATAGGTTCATCGTGAGATAGGATTGAAATGATTTCATTTTCAAAATATATTGAAGATGGCACTCTTGCCCCGGGTGACCTTCTTGCCCCTATTTATGACGAATTGTGTGTACCAGCTTTGGGTTTATTGATGACTGCCGGTCTGATGTTTTTTCTAGTCACGCCAGGTGGTCTGGATTCCAAACAACAACAATTGTGTTGAGATAGTTGAGTCCGTTCAGCGATTTTTTTTTTATCCTTTATTATAGAGATTTTTAGCCATAGGCTAGTTCATCTCTTACCGTTCAGCGATGTTTTCTTCGATTCGCTCTGGTGAAGCTCTTGGAGAGACCCGTTTCAACATCAACGTCCTACTCAGGGGTATGCTGTGGCTGTGAAATCCACCTCACATTGATTTTGGTACATTGGCAATGATAAATCATAAGGCACAATACACTGAGGGCCTGTTCATAAACTACGTAGACAGTTTTTTGGGATTCTTGACCCCCCCTCCCCCTGCGTAGACAATTGTCCATACAAAAAATTTAAAATTTGTATGGGCCGTGGATAATTGTCAACCCCCCCTAAACTGTCTACGTAGTTTATGGACAGACCCTGATGAAGTGAAGCCTGATCAATTATTTTACTTATGTTCTTCGATGATCGAAATAATCAAAACAAAAACATTGTTACTTCTATGATGCGTAGACAAAATACCTTCAACATTGTACTGAGATTGCCACTTCGCACAAACTAAAACATGAACGGTACTATATGTAGGTGGGTTGCAGCGATTGTTCAATCAACTCTCTTCGATATTTTCGACAATTTTTTTTTCCTTGATTTGTTTTCCGTGGATCTTGTTTTCCGTGCTGAGCACCAATGCTACCGACGCCAGGGAGGCAGCTCCCACACCTGGACCCTACCTATCGACCCATCAATTCATGAATCGGGGACCAACGGCTTTACTTCCCTTCCGAAGGAAGGCGTGATCAGAGATGTTATGCCTCAGAACATCCCGGCGACGCCGACTGGGATTGAACCCAGGCCTCATGGGGTGAGAGGTAATCACGCTTACCACTACACCACCGGCACCGCTGTTTTTTTTTCGACAGATGTTACGAAGACGTTTCTCTTCATTTTTGTCTGGCTTTATGAAACGTATGTGTATCAGTGTTTTAATTTATATTTTTTTTATTAATGTGTGACCTTTACTTTTAATTTTAAGTTAATCCATCGTTGGGGCTACATTTAGTCTGTTAATGTTGACAGCTCTCAAATAAACAACATAACTAACGGGATCAGCATGACGGTTTGTTTGCCACCCCTGCTACGCATGCTAGTGGTTACATAGGTTTTTCACCCTTGTGTTATGACTTCACCGCCTAGGATACAGCACCTTTACTAGCTTATTTTTGTCCGACGGTCACGATCTCCCAAATATTGAAATCCATCCATCCATCCATCGAGACATGAGTAACTCTGCCTTGGCAACCTATGCCTAGGGGGTTTCTAGCAGCACTGCCAATGCAATCAAATTAGATAGAAGCTACTCGATTGGGTCGGGCTTTGACAGTTCGATTGGCTCAAAACCAGCCATCCTAGCCCAAATATCACTGCAAGTTTTATCAAGGTTTTAAAACATTCTACACGTCTAAATCATGGTCTGCAGAACCCCCATAAAGCCAATTGTTTTTACTTGCCTCAGGGCTTATAAATGTAATTTTCGATGAAAGATATTTACAGAATTTTTACAGCGATACTTCTGTAACTACACTATCATCGGATGAGAAAGCGTTTGCCAGAGGGATGACGTCGTTCGCATGAGGCATGTTCCTCGCTTTTTACGGTTAGGTGCCTACGAATGCATTATGATTTTTTTTTTTTATGTTGAAGCATGATTCATATTAGGGGCCTCCCTTAGCTCAGTTGGTAAAGGCGCAGCTACAAAGCAAGACCATGCTGGAGGTGGCTGGGTTCGATTCCCGTTCCAGCCTAGGAATTTTTCGGGTTGGAAATTTTCTCGACTTCCCTGGGCATTGAAGTATGATTGGACTTGCCACACAATTATACCAATGCAAAAATGGTACAGACATCGAAAGCTCTCAATTAATAACTGTGGAAGTGCATCTATAACACTAAGTTGAGAGCACGCAATAATCTTGAAATGCGAAGAAGAAGAAGAAGAAGAAGAAGAAGAATAAGAAGAAGAAGAAGAAGAAGAAGAAGAAGAAGAAGAAGAA